CCATCAAAGGAATAAACTATGTGTCATTGGAATTCCAGAACAAGAAGAGACAAATAAAACCACAGAAAAAATTGTTGAAGATTTATTGGAAGAAATTTTCATGGTATGATGAAAGATGAGAATATATCCATTCAGGAAGTCCAATGAACCCCAAACAGGATAGACCCCAAAAGAAAATCACCAAGACATATTATCATAAAACTCACCAAAATCAAAGACAAAGAAAGAATCCTGAAAGAAGCATGGGAAAAATGAAAAGTAACTGACAAGCAGCAACCAATAAGGCTAAGCTTGGATTTCTTGGCAGAAACCATGCAGGCGAGAAGACAATGGGATGGTATATATAAAACCTTGAAAGAGAAAAATTTCCAATGAAGAATTATGTACCCAGCAAAATTGTCCCTCAAATATGATGGTGAAATTAGGAGATTTCCAGATAAGCAGAAACTAAGGGAATTTGTTAAAAGCAGACCAACTTGACAAGAGATGCTAAAGGGAGCCCTTTGGACAGAGAAGCAACAATGGCCAACATTAACACACATGATGATGTAACTCAGAAACCAACCCAGCTATGGAAGTATCCAAAGTAAATAAGCCTACAAGATTGTAAACAAGGGACCAGAGACATCAATTGACAAATGAGGACAATTACAAACCAAAAAGAGGGAAAAAACTGTGTCATTACAGAACTTCTAGTTGGTAGGGAAGTCAAGACAAGATAGAACGGACTGTTCTAAGCTTGGGAAGAAAACTATAAATCGCAGGGTAACCTCAAAGAAAAATGATAAACCTTAACATCAAAATAAAAAAGAGGACCAGCACAAATATTTAACAAATACTAAAACAATAGCAATGAAGGAAGTGATAACACGATTCATAAATGTTCATCACAGCACTATCTACAATAGCAAAAAGATGGAAACAATGTACATGCCCATCAGCAGAAGAATGGATGACCAAACTATGGTACATACACATAATGGAATGGTATGCAGCAGTAAAGAATAATGTAGAGTCTGAAAAACACTGCATAATATGGATGAACTTGGAGGACATTATATTGAGTGAAATAAGTCAATCACAGAAGGAAAAATATAGTATTGGTTTGTGGTTGTGGAGGGTCAAGGAAAGGTTTTTCATATGGAGGGAAACTTTCTTTGTTAGTTGCCAGGGGTAGGAGAGGAGGGGAGGTAACACTGCCAAAAAAAAAAAAAAAAAAGCATTGACCCATGTCACTTTAGTTTTGTGTATTTCACTGTGCATAAATTATATTTCAATAAAATGCATTAAAAAAAAGAAAGAAAATATCTGGATGTAGGAAAGCACCAGCCCACATAGTGACTTCAACTCACAACTTCTAGCAAAGGAGATGTAGTCCATGGAACAAAGAAATTATAGTACAGTGGTTTGATTGGTTAGTCTTTGGTGGAGGTCATAAGGAGAATGGGTTAGGGGTGGGAATAGGCATCTATTGGATAATGGGACACAGAAAGTCATAGTGATTTATTTCAGGAACTAATTATAGAGCTTTTAAATCTCACTTGAATAGATTTCAGATGGAATCATAAAACATTATTGATGGATGTTTACACAGCTTTAACCAGATGTCTCAGGAGTGAGTGAAAACTCTTGATGTCAGGAACTCATTTCCCCAACACAGCTTATTAATACTTCTATGGGGTCTGGGGAACTTTAGAGAAGGTGGCTCTGAACTCTTTCAAGCAATTTTCTTGATCACATCTTTGTCATGGAGAAATATTTCTTTGGTCCACTTTATACAAAAAGATACCTGTGTCAATATTCCCATCCTTAGAGTGTATTTCCTTTGCATCCTGGCTTGCCTATCTAGAGACATTACTTCTTAATTTTATGGCTTTCAGTAATTAACAGCAAGCTAGCAGAAGCTTGTAGAGGGAAACTGACTTTTCAGCTGAGCAAACGGATTCTCAGGCCAGCAGGTCAGTAGAAAACAGCTTAATAAAGCAAAAACTGAGTGAAATTCAATCACTCAACTTTGGTAAAAATGCTTTTTTGAATTTCTCCTTTACAACTTTTTATTACTGTGCATTCCTCACTCAAAAAGGCAATTTATTCTCATTCTTAGAAAACTGTATTAAACATAAACTAAAAATATCTCCTGAAGTCTTCTTAAAACCAAAAAATAGTCTAGCTTAATTGGTAAACATCTGTCCACCCAATTGGTTAGCAGATGAAAATGCTTTAACCACTGTGCCACCAGTTGTTGTTGTTGTTACGTGCCATCGAATCGGACCCGACTCATAGCGACCCCTCCTTGGGTTTCTGAGGCAGTATCACTACGGAAGTAGATTGCCCCATCTTCCTTTGAGGAGTGGCCAGTGGGTTTGAACTGCCAACCTTCTGGTTAGCAGTCAACTGCCTTAGGCACTATGCTACCAGAGCTCCCACCAGAGCTTCTTGAAATGTACATGTAGAAATTGTTAACTTGGGATATGTTCTGTTGTGTGTCATTCTCAACAACAAAAATAAAAATATACTTTTTAAAAACCAAACCCACTGCCTTCCAGTCCATTCTGACTCATAGTGACCCATAGGGTTTCCAAGGATATAAATCCTTGGCAGACTATGGCATCTTTCTCCTGTGGAGCAATTGGTGGGTTCGAAACCACTGACCATTGGTTAGCAGCCAGTGCCTTAAGCACAACACCACTCCTATTTATTTGTTATTATTATTATTATTTAAAGAAAACTGTGTTAAACTTCACAATAACAGTACAAGGTGAGGTTATTGTCCCATGTCACATGAAGAAAACTAGGGCTCTGATGAGAGGAAAGTCTTATGGGGGCCAAGTTCCCAGGGCTGGATCGGGGCTGTAAAGAGTGCCTTCTGGCTAACGAGTATGTTGCTGACTGGTCTCTTCCCACATTGTGTCAGACACTTCATCCCTCCCCCACTTTTCCGGGGTGGATGTGTTATCTACTTCCTTCTTTTTCTTCTTGAGCCGGGGAGGAAAGGGTCCAAGGAAAGGCTGCAGAGGGAAATCGTGAGCAATAAAAGCCTCTGTCCAGCGAAAAAGTGGAGAAGGAGGAGCAGAGAAGAGCAGAGGATGGAAGAGATGGGTGATTTCAAGGAGCCAGGCAGCCCTGGTGAGGCTGGGCCTTGACTGGGGTGACAGGGCCTTAGGGTCTTGGGGGAGTCGAGCCCAGCCTCCAGCCTGGGGAAGTGGTATCTGTGCTTCCAGTCTTGGGACAAGGTGTGGGAAGCCTTGAAGCTCAGTGGGTTGTGTTTGGCCCCATCCAGAGGAGAAGGTGACATTCTGGGGCCAGAGATCCATGGAGAAAGACTCTAGATACCCACAGACCCAATGCCCAAGGATCGTGCCAGGTACTGGTGTGGGAAGTTCAGGAACAGGAGCCTGGGGCAGTGAGTGGCTGGAGGCTTCTCTAGGATGTGTAGGGAGGGGTCTGGCCCTGAGCCCTCAGCTTTGCTGCCCCTGCAGGGTGTCTGACCCGAGTCTCCCTGCCTTTGGTGCTGCTTCTCGTCTCTCTGGGTATCTTTGTGCTCCTGGTGACCACCCAAGTCCAAGGTGAGTCAGAGGCTGGGCCTGCAGGGCTGGGGGCTGAGAGTCCTGGGTCCCCTTGGGTTTTCCCTGTTGGATGGTCTTTGCCCTTTCCATAGTCATCAGATCCAACAGAGCTGGGCGCTTGGGCTCTGTTTGCCTTCCTGTGTGACCATAGTGGGTCACTGTCCCTCTCTGAGCTCATCTCCTCACCTGTGAAATGTACATCATTTTCCCCTGGAGGGGGTCTGGGCTCTCAAGAGACAGAGGAGCCCAGCCCAGCATAAGAGCAGGTACACAATTAGTACTGATAGAGGGCTGTGTGTTGCTCTGTCTATTGCAGTCTTCAGGATCTACCAATCCCTGCAGAGTGACAGCAAGACCAAGGACCAACAGACGAACCATCAAATGGGTGAGGAGCTGGACACTAGGGTCCTAGATGGGAGGGGGCTTTAAGGCTGTATGACCTCGTACAAGACAGAGGTAAAAAATGGGAGGTATGAGGAGGGGAGAAGACTGGACCCCTGGGGGCTGGCAATGTTGGCAAGTCATGGTCTCTTGGAGTCAGGTAATGTTCTCCTGTGACTGGTTCTGCACAAAGCACTCAGATGATGCTTGAGAACGTCCTCTTTTTCTCAGTTGCCCTTTCTCAGAAGCAGCTCCAATCAGAGCTGAAGGAAATCCAGGAGCAGCTGGCCTGGATGAATGCATCCCTGGGTGAGGAGGTGATGTCTGCATGGGGAGGAAGCTGCGGGTCGTAGGTGGGCCTGGGTGGGACCCGTCTCTGGGGCAGTGGGTCTGAGGAGAGCATGGCAGAGCTTGGATCTTTCTCACTGGTTTCTGGGACACTAAATGGATCCCTAACACCAGAGTCTGGCCCGGCCCGCACAGGATTCAAAGGCTGGATGCAAATGTAGGGGCCCCGGAGGAGTCAGGTGACGTGTCTGTTCCGCCCCGCCCCTCCTCCGCAGCTAGCCTGTGCCGTCCCTGTTCCCAGAATTGGGAGCCCTTCCAGAACAGCTGCTACTTACTCTCCAGGACCCAGACAAATTGGCACGCTTCTGTCTCTGCCTGCCAGGACCAAGGGGCCCACCTGGTGATTGTCAACAGTGGTGAGGAGCAGGTGGGTCAGGCAGTATTCCTTCCTGGGGCTGGGCCATGCAACTGGTCAACCAAAAACCTTCTTTCACCCTCCTCTGCCCTCTGAGAGATGGAGGCTCATTGAGCAGCTTGGGGGAGTGTACACAATCAGGGAAGACTTCCTGGTAGAGGAATGATCATAGGCTTGGGGAGGTCACATGGGAGGGGAAGATGTAGAATACTTGAGAATCATACATAATTTCTCCCCAGACACACGTGAAGTGAGGCACAAAGTAACACATTGCCACACATGTGTGAACATGAACTCACATCCATAGCACACATGCACGTGTGAACACACAGTTCAACCAGGTACATGAGGTTAGACTGCAGAAAGAACTTACGTCCAATGAGGATGCTGGGCTCACGGATGGAGTTGGGGAGTAGGGGTGAAGGGGCCTCCTCCTGATAACTCTGCCCCTGTAGAGATTCCTGCAATACTGGAGTGTCAGGAAAGATGGCCGCACCTGGATTGGCCTCAGCGATCACCACAATGAGGACGCTTGGCACTGGGTGGACAACTCTCCCCTCCAGCTCAGGTGATCCCCAGAGAGAGGCGACTGGGCTGGCGTGAGCAGGGGAGAGACCCACCCCTCCAACCCAGGGGAGCTCAGACTCTGGTGTGGGAAAGCTTTGCATTGGAGCTTGATTAAAATGCCCAGTCCTGGCTGCACCCTGGAGGGCTCCGATTCACTAAGTCTAGGCAAGGGCCCTGAGAATCTGCATTTTCACCCCCACAGAGCTTTACATGGAGGTGATATTTGAACCCACTTTTGCAGAACCCTGCCTCTAAACTTCTCACCTACATCTGGCTGAGACTAGAAATGTTGCCATCAAAGCCCAGGGACCAGCTCTCCCCAGGGTGTGTTGGGGTGGGCTGTGGATTGAGTAGGGGCTCATGGCTCTGATGGGTTCACAGCTTCTGGGTTAAAGGTGAGCCCAACAACGCTGGGGATGAAGACTGTGCTGAGCTCTCCACTACTGGCTGGAATGACATCAAGTGTGATGCAGAAAACTACTGGGTCTGTGAGAAGCCCTCGGTTCCCTGCACTAGCCTCTGAGGGCCACTGCTGCCCCCATCCACAGAGACTAGCCATCACTCTGCTTGTTGTCACCTAGTCCCAACCCCTTCTTGTTTTCCCTTTGGTTAGTTCCCATCCTCCTCCTGGCCTGAGGTCTTGGAGATCTTGAGAGAGACTCTGAGACACCCTTCCCCTCTGAGACATGTCCCCTCATTCCTCCACTGATGGAAGACCTCTCCCTTCAATGGAAGACCATTGATGGTCTCAGCTCCCCCACAACCCCCTATGACATCCCTTAATAAAGCCTCACATTGCGTTATGACTCCTACTCAACTTATTGCCTCTTCTCTTGCCACTGTTTCAATTACTAGAGTTTCCTAATACATTTGATATAAACTAGAACATTGTACTCTTTCAATATTTTTTCTCTATTACTGTGTATTTTATAAGATTGGGCAATCTACTTCCATAGAGGTACTGCCTCGGAAACCCAAGGATGGATCACTATGAGTCAAAATTGACTGACGGCAGTGAGTTTGGTTTGGTTTGGTGTATTTTATTTCCAAGATGCAGTTTTTAACCAGTTTGTGATTTTGACTGGAGATGTGTATACACACACATATTTATGTGTGTGTGTGCATGTGTGTGTGTGCATGTATACACACATGTATCATCCCTTGGTGGCACAAACAGTTTGCACTCACCTACTAACTGAAGGGTTGGAACCTACCCAGAAGTGCTTTGGAAGATGGGGCTGGCAATCTCCTTCTGAAAGTCCACAGCCTTGCAAACCCCACAGAGCAGTTGTCCTCTGCACACACGGGCCACTATGAGTTGGGATTGACTCGACAGCAATTATATACAACAATTAACCAAAAGATTGTTGGTTTCAACTCACTCACATGGAAAGAAAGACCTGCTTCCATAAGGACTAGGACCAGGAAAACCTTATAGATCTCAGTTCTACCCTGTAGTACATGAGTCAGAACCTGCCTGACAGCAATGAGTTTATATAGTGCATATGATGTTACGGTTAGGTGCCATTGAGTCGGCTCAGACTCATAGCGACCCTATGTACAATAGGACAAAACAGCCTGGTTCTGCATTACCTTCACGATCCTTGCTATCCATGAACCCATCACTACAGCTTCCATGTCAGTCCATCTTGTTGAGAGTATTCCTTGTTTTTGCTGACTCTCTACTTTGACAAGCATGACATCCTTCTCCAGGGAATGGTCCCATCTGACAACATGACCAAAGTAGCTGGGATGAAGTTTGGTTTCTTGCTTCCAAGGAACATCCCAGCTGCAATTCTTCCAGGAAGATTTGTTTGTTCTGGCAGTCCATGGTAGTTTCAGTATTCTTTGCCAACACTATAATTCAAAGGCATCAACTCTTCTTCAGTCTTCCTTAGTCATCGTTCAGCTTCCACATGCATATGAGGCACACTCACACAAACATATACAGTACTGTATGTATATAGCATATATATAGATTTAAAAAGAAACAAACCAAACTCACTGCTGTTGAATAGGATCCGACTCATAGCGACCCCTCCTTGGGTTTCAGAGGCAGTAAGTATCACTACGGAAATAGATTGCCCAATCTTCCTTCTGAGGAGTGGCTGGTCTTCTGGCTAGCAGTCAAATGCCTTGGGCACTACACCACCAGAGCTCCCATATATAAATATATATTGTATATATGTGTATATGTACAGTGAGATCTGTGAAAGCCAGAACTTGATGGGACTGCTTTGTTTTTCTGAGTCTTGCAAGTTTTCTGCCTTTGACAGGGTGCAGTGCAGGCTTAACACTTTTCTATTGCTCATTTAATGGAAAATATTTGAGTTCTCTTTCTCTGACAAATTTCTGCTTTTTGCAGGTTTCACTGTAGATAGATAGATAACATTCTCATGACTTGCAGTAGTTCTATAAAGTTGTCCCAAACATTAAATTAGTTGTATTAGTTCCCCTGGCAACCGGGTAGCACAACAGTTAAGTACTTGGCTGCTAACCAAAAGGTTGGTGGTTCAAACCCATCAATCGCTCCATGGGAGAAAAGACCTGGTGATTTGTTCCCGTATGACTATAGCCTAGAAAGTCTATGAGGCAGTTCTATCCCGTCATATAGGGTCAATATGAGTTGGAATTGATTCCATGGCACACAACAACATCAGTTCCCTATTGCTACTGTAACAAATAACCACAAGCTTAATGGCTTTAAACATCACAAATTTATTATCTTATAGTTCTGGAGGTTAGAAGTCTGAAATGGGTCTCATTGGGCTAAAATCAAGATGGTGGCAGGGCTGCAATTCTTTATGGAGGCTCTAGGGGAGAGTAAATTTTCTTGTCTTTTCCAGTGTCTGGAGCTGACTGCATTCCTTGGCTTGGGGCCCCATCCTCTATCTTCAAAACCAGCAATGGTTTTGAAGTCTTTCTCACACAGCATCACTCAGACACTGACTCTCTGTCTTCTGTGTTCCACACTTAAAGGACTCTTGTGATTACATTAGGTACCTCTGGAGAATACAGGATAATCTTCCCCCCCCCCCCTCAAGATCAGCTAATTACTGACAATCTTAATTCTGTCTGCAACCTTAATTCTTTCCTGCATGTAGCATAACATATTACTTAGGGACTCAGACATGGCTACCTTTTGGGAAGGGCATCATTCAGCCATCACATTGTATTATAGTTTTCATTGTTGTGCTGAATGGGATATTTTTTTCCTGTTATATTTTCTAGTATATTATGGCTTGTGTCAAGCAAAACTAATTACTTTTGTATGTTGACCTTTTATCTGACTCATTTTCTGTAATCTCATTGTCTCTAATAGTTCATTCATTGATCCATTTGATTTTTCTCAGTAATCCTGTTGTTTTAAAAGAATGAAATTTCTGTCTTTTACTTTCTATTGTCCTATTGCATTGGCTTTTTCTTATCATATTTAATTGCCTAATACACTGCTGGTACAAGTATGTGAAATGCATTGCTTACAACTCATTATAAATATTTTGCCCTCTTAAGGTGTTTCCCCTACATCTGTGAAAATCACCATGAAGAAGCTCTAGCAGAGACATCGGTCTGAGTGGAAGGGCCTGCAGGAAGACCAGAAGAGGCAATAGTTCTGGTTCAGGTGGAGGCTGTGTTTCAACATTCCTTGACCTTGAACTCTAGGAGGAAGGAAGTTGGGGGGGGGACCAAGTACCATTATTAGGGAAACAACAGATTATAGGTGGAAGCCCCTCAATTGAAACAACACAGGTGGCTTCCCATGACCTTTTGAGTCACAATTCATGCCATCTATTTGATGGCTCTTTTGGACTACTTGAAGTTGCTAATTCCTGTAAGGGTCAGATTAGAATTGGCTGGGAGTTATTGCCCCCAGAAAGCAGTCTCCAATCAATGACAGGTGGGAGGTGGTAGATAAAACACCAACATCCTCTGCTGTTGAGTTAGACAACTCTGAGGCATGATTTACCAAATCTCCCAGAGGTCCCCAATGGGCCTGAGCCCCACTTGCCCACACCAGTCACCTGCTCAGTAATGCATGTTTGCTTACATGCATTCATCCATTCATTTCTTGCTTGTGTCTCTTCCCTATTTCACTTCCCCATTTCCTTCCTGGAACTCCCTGAGGAGAAACTGAGAAATAAGCTTCTTTCATTCAAAACCTTTGTTTCATTGCAAGATAGAATGGATTCTTCTAAACTTTGGAAGAAAATTATAAATCACAGGGTAATCTCAAAGAAAACTGATAAACCTTCACATCAAAATAAAAAAAGAAGAAAAACACAAGTATTTAGCAAATACTAAAACAATAGCAACAAAGGAAGTGATAATATGGTTCATAAATAAAATTATATGGAACAAAGAAATCAGTAACACCATGAAAAACCACATAAAAAAATTACAACAACAAATTCATACTTGTTGATAATTACACTGAATGTCAATGGACTAAATACACCACTCAAGAGACAGAGAGTTGCAGACTGGATAAGAAAACATAACCCATCAATATGCTATCTACAAGAGACACACTTTAGAGACAAAGACAAAAATAGACTAAAAATCAAAGGTTGGAAAAAGATATATCAAGCAAATGGCAACCCTAAAAGAACAGGAGTGGGAATATTAGTTTCTGATAAAATTGACTTTAGGACAAAAACAACCATAAGAGACATATAATGATTAAATTATATAATGATTAAAGGATCAATTGAACAAGAGGACATAACCATAATAAATAGCTATATACACAATGAAAGAGCCCCAAAATACATAAATCAGACTTTAACAGAATTGAGAAGACAAATAGATGACTCCACAGTCATAGTAGGAGACTTTAATACACCACTTTTAATCAAAGATAGAACAACTGGAAAGGAAACTCAACAAAGACACAGAAGAACTAAACAATACAATCCACCAACTTGACCTTACAGACATCTACAGAGCACTTCACCCAGCAGAAGCATAATACATTCTTTTCCAGTGCACATGGAACATTCTCTAGGATAGATCATATGTTAGGCCATAAAGCAAGCCTTAATAAATTTAAAAACATTGAAATACTGCAAAGCATCTTCTCAGGTCACAATGCTATAAAATTAGAAATCAATAATAGGAAGATCAACAGAAAAAGAGCAAACATGGAAACTGAACAACACTGTCCTTGAAAATGACTGGGTAATAGAAGAAATAAAACATGAAATTAAAAAATTCCTTGAATCAAATGAGAATGAAAACAACATATCAAAATCTATGGGCACAGCAAAAACAGTGATCAAAGGCCAATTCATAGCAACAAATGCACATATCAAAAAAGAAGAAAGAGACAAAATCAACACCTTAACCCAACATCTCCAACAATTAGAAAAAAAGCAGCAAAAAAGCCTACAGTCACCAGAAGAAAAGAAATAAAAATTTGAGCAAAAATAAATGAAACAGAAAATAGACAATAGAAAGAATCAACAAGACATGGTGTAGTGCCCAAGGCATTTGACTGCTAACCAGAAGGCTGGGAGTTCAAAC